TGCCAACTGTTTTAAATGCATTTTCTATAAAGAGTAACGGATTGTTTTTTAATAAGATTTAAAAGAGCAGATAATTGAAACGAAGTAGACAGTTATAATGAGTGTCTGATAAATTATGTAAGAATGCCAACATACTCCACCGACAAACCGCTTTATGAAAAATCGATATAAACCTATCAATTTTTTCCCTGGTCTTGCATTATCAATGATTTACTTTGTTAATTTAATAAGAAACGACCTCGAGAGTTTGGTTTTTCATCTCATACTGATATTTATAGGCCACCAAAACGTATTTTTCTAGAAGCCTAAACAAGATTTATTTCATATTGTTATGTGAGAAATGACGCTCTTTCGTCTAATAATCCTATCCGAATCACGTCTAATTGTTAATTAATGTAATTTTAATAAGAAAGTACATTGACCAAAAATAGAAAATCCTAAAAAGTCACGTTTTACACGGACTTTCCTTTTATATGAACTACGTCAATATGGATTTATTATCAATTGCCAGCGTCTCGTATGTAGCGTTTATGAACTAGAATGATCTTGTCGGTTATTTATGGAAAGAATAATACTATTTATCAATGAAATTTTCATCTTTACTATTCAAATAGTAAAGTATGTGAAAAAATTTCAACATCGCTCAATATGAATGATAAGAAAGTAAATCGTTTGTTTGCTTTTGCTCTCGATCCTGGCATTTTTCAAGCTAATTGGATGATTTATATAGCAATTATATAAAATATTCACCTGCCATTTAGATTGTAACCTACACTGTCAGATAAATAGTCGTGCCAGCGGCGAAAAGTTTATTAAAAATATAATTGAAAGTAATATTGTAACAGGTCAAAGCGATACAGACAAATGCTTCATTAATGTACCGATTGAAAATAGAAATGTGTGCTGGCGCTCATGTGTCCATACATGAACTAGATGGTATCCGAGATGCACTCGTATACGAAATGCGATGCGATGCGATGCGAAGCAAGAATTTGAATCTCCTACGAAAAATCTTCAATTCATAGCCATTAAATATTTTTTATATAGCCACAATGCAATTCGTCACTTAGAAATCTCTATTCTTACAGATTGATTTCGATGGATCGATTAATTATCTCCATGATTCATTAGCTTAGATCAGCTGTAAATCAATAGACTATAGTGGCTAACATATGTTGATGACGTCACTTTAATTATCTCGCAGCAAATTTCTTTCATTTTCGTCATTTTGGAACCAGATTTGTGAGCGAACGGAATATCAGATTGAAGAATAGAAAAAATATGTCAGAAGTTCGATCTCGATACTCTCATCTCCCGTTTCAATGAGGTTTCTATGACTTTCTGTTCGCGAGATCATTCAAACTCAAAATGCCGATTCGCGATGCGCACATCGAGATAGTAAAAGAAAAAAAAAACTCGCGACAGATTGAATAAATGCGATGCGAAGCATTGCATTAAATATTCTATTGTCAATAATGAATCCCGTAGGAAATCATATTGATCATTTCTTAACTAATGACATAAATTGTTTTCAGGATTTGTTTTTGAAATTGTAACTGAATGATAACAATAGAAGTGGAAATATTAAGAATGTATTCATAACGAAAAAATAAATCTCTATAACAATACTAGATAGAAGCATTTTAATTGTTTTTTTTTCTTTTGCCTCGTCTCACTGGACGAAATTAGCTGCGCACAAATAACATTTTTGTCTTTCTTCTTCAAAAGAAGTCACGTCTATGATGAGTAGTTGCAATGGAGTAGACTATCCAGCGCTCAACTAACAATCTACTCCCACTTCATGTGCTCTCATTGAAAGAAGAGTAAGAGTATTCCGCTTTAGCACTAAACACGGGCAGTCAAGTGCAACAGCAAAGTCGACGAGTTTTACGATAAGTTATCTCACTGAAAACTGACACGCGAGTAATTAAATTAAAATTTACTCATTTCTATAAGAGTGAATCAGATAATTGTCATGTATTGGTAGGTGTCCTTGTAAATGTATGTAATCTACATATTCCTATTTTCTAATTTACTACCCAACGGTAGCGCGTCAATGTCGAACCGTTCTAGGTTCCTATGAACAAAGTATTCAGAGAGTTTTCAGTGGATAAAATCATTATGTAAAGACAAGTACGATCTTAATAATATCAAGTATACGAGTCACGTAGATACGCGCTATTCAAAAGAACGTTGTGTCTCTTCGAATAAAGCCTAGAAAATAAATGTGTGTCTAATAATTAGATTTAATCGTATGACGACATCGAATCGAAATGTATTTACAGCTTTTCTATTTGTTCTAGTGCTTTTATTATTAGTATCACAGTAAGTACAAATCTATAATGATTATTGTTTATTGAGTAGAATTGTCCATCTGCCGTAGAAATCGTAGGGCAATTTTTTTATTGTTTACTATATTTATAGAAACCAATATAACAGTTTTTTCTTCTTCTTCAGATCCAATAAATCAAACTATCGTAATAATGAGTAATAAAACTTTGCCTTGATTACGAGCAATCTTTTTTTGTACTCTTAACATTGGCTAAAATAAACAGGAAATAAATAAATCGATGGAGGGAAAAATAAGATGGTCAAGTAGCAATCGGTTCAGATAATAGAATGAGCGCATTGACGTCAAATGTACTCGATACATTATTCTTTTTTTCGTTATCGTATTTTCTCTTTTTTTTCAATTACTATTATTTGCTAGGAAACGAAAGAAGTACACATATTCATCCGCCGCGTATACATATAGACTAATGACATTTGCCATTAACTAAACTACTTTTATTTACACATTATTCTTCTGTTCATTCATGAAAAATCCAACGCTGAAAATGCGCATGGAAAAGTCAGCGTAGATCATAATACAAAAAATTTACTTTCATACGGTGATATATCGAACAATTTAGTTTCGAGAATACTATTAAACGTAGATTTTCTTTTGTGACGGTAACGTCTTGTTCGTTTTTCCCTCGAAATTATAGTCTTGGTAATTTCGTGTAATAATGATTATGCTTCAAAGCTCATTTGTGTTGCACTATTGTGAATGTGTAATAATATGATCAACGAATGCAATCATTGATGTAGATGCTATATTATCATTTGTAGAAAAAAACGTCATACCTCCGCTTCTCTGTTCAGGCAAGCATAAACAAGTAGTTTTTCAGTTTTCTGTTTATATGACACTCATGAAATCCTCAAAGCGTCTACAAAACTTCACTAACTATATTCATCTAAAGTATTATTATTTTATACGAGACTCTTATTAGACGTGTATTATTACACTTGAGCGCATGTTTGTACTAATTCGATTTTCTGGTTGTTTTTTTAAGTCTTGACCTACTTTACTATTTACTTCTGTCGCAAAATCATTCCGCAACGTTTTTTCCCTTCGTTCAGAAGATAATATTAAACATTCACGATGAAATAATTCTTTAAAGATAAAACCTATTATGATGACACTCGAAAGCTGGTAGCGTAAGTAATGCATTAATTTATCCATCGGACATGCCATTCTTTATGTTAGGAAAAAAAGAAACGCGTACTGTTAATTTTTATCGTTCTAAAAGAAAACGAATATAACCTGATCGATTTCAATTCTGAGTCCTTGTCAGCGAGAAAAGAAACATTTTTATTTGAGATTTACAGATGAACTTTTTCTATGCGTTTGAGATAGTTAGAAGGCAGAATAAATATGATAATCGACGCGGCCACGCGTTACGGAATTTCTTTTTTTCACATTGAGACCTCTGTAACTTCTCCGTATTAAAAGCAATCTGCCTGAACTTTTCACCCCAGATAGATGTTGCTTAGATGTGCTACCAGTAGAAATGTTATCAATTTAATTTTAACAACAGCAGAGTTACTCAGAAAATGCTGACCGTTACGGACTTTCAAAAAATGGAATCTTTTTTCTGATGCTTGCGAAAGTTGTGAATTATTCTGTCTCGGATTAGTTACGGAATGATTGTGCAATTACCAAATTAAAGTCCACAGTTGGAACTATGGAAACTGTGGTAGGCTTCTGCTGGGATAAGTTTTTAGAGAGCGAAAAAAAACGAACACTAGCCGTTACGGAATTTCATTTTGTTGCGGAATCTCGTCATTTGTGGGCTTTTCTGGGGATGGTTTCGTGAATATTTTTTCAGTGACAGTGTTACTAAAAAGACCACGGTTTGCGCATAAATAAGTAATTTGAGGTGTCCTCAGCCTGATGCCTCTAAAATCGATAGATCAGAAAATCAAATTTAGAGCAGAAATTCCTTTAAAATTTGAATTCTCATCATGTAAATACAACTGTAAATCATTCTTGAGTAAAGATTCGTAATCAGCTCAAAAAACAAAATGAATTAATTGATGTATTTTGAATCTTTCCTCAATTAAGAAAAAAATTCGAACGTTCTCCATTGAAGGGTGACCGATGCGTAGCCGAGCCGATATAGTTTTCTACTAAGGAGCCGCGTTGGTAATATTACATTTTAGAGAGAATGATGTTTCGTAATACAAGTTTTTCTTTTTACCTTTCTTTTTTTCCTGATGAAATGTGAAACAAGGTTTTAATATTATATTGAATATTTCAATTACTGAAGCTTCTATTCATTCTCATGTGCTTTCATCGCGCTTCTTTTTCTAAAAGGAAGCACTTAACAACTGTTTGGACGTGTAGAAAAAAATTTTCTATCAGAGAGAACTCGCCTCTTTTAAGTGTTAATGCGCCGTTTCTGTTAATCTCAATGTTTCCTTTATGCCTGGTTTTCATTTATCGTCTATTTTATTTTTATCACACTATTTTTTCAGCTCAAAAGATTTTATTTTTCTAGGTGAACTAATAGTCAGCATCCGCCCCTCGTAGTGATCATTCTTTCTTTAGCCCAACTAGTAGTTGAACTCGCTTAGTTTAAAAACTGACGTTTAACGTCGTGCCAACGTTGTGGAAGCCATCGTCTCGCATAAAGTCATAATGATAAATTATCAAAGCCACACAATCAAATTTATAAATGATGCAGAATAACACAAATTTGACTACTAATGATAGCGCTTCATTTGATGACTTCACATGGTCTTTTAGAACGATTACCATTCTTATTGTATGCAGTCTAATTACAATTTTGACTATATTAGGTTTGTCAATGAAATCTTTTTATAATTAATCAAATTCTAAAATTATTACAACGTGAAGAAAAATTAAATTTTAATTTCTACTTATAGGCAATGGTTTAGTTTTGATTTCAATCAAATTTCGTCTTCGAGCTCCATCATATTCTGATTATTTTATTGTTAGTTTATGTCTAGCAGATTTTTTCGTTGGCTTATTTGTAATGCCATTGATGACAATACATTCATTATATTTACGTTGGCCATTTCATTATCGTCTTTGTTATGTGTGGATGTCCATTGATTTTACTTGTTCAACAGCATCATTCCTTACACTTGCGTCTATGGCTCTAGATCGATATTGGGCATTAACAGGTATTCCTGTTTTTCTTAAATTTCTGTTTGGGTTAAATTTAATTGCTTTGATATTTTTAGCGCCTTATTTTCATTTGCGTAATCGTTCCTATTCATCCGTATTAATATTTATAATTAGCTCGTGGGCTATCCCGTTTGCTATATGGCCAGGATCAATATTTATTTCTCACCATTATAGTACAATAGATCCGTCATGTGTTCATCCAGCACATCCAGTTATTATTGTTGGATTATGCACATTTTTTTATTATATCCCACTTCTATTTATGCTTGTTTGCTATTCAAGAATAATAGTCAATATTAAAAATATTGAAGTATTAGTAAGTTCATTTGGCTTTATTTATTGTGTTAAATGGCTGGGAGTTATGAATATGAAAAAAAGGTTTCTAATCCAATAGCGTGCGTTGAGTAATAATACAAGAATGCAATCTCTTTTCTCCCTCGCAATAGTTAGATTTCTAACAATAGAAATATTATTTATAATTACTCCGCTAGTAAAATTATTTCCAGGAAATTTGTGTCACTAGCGATTCATAAAGAATTTCAAGGAAATTATAAAAGATTTTCGAGCAATTTTTTATAATGTGTAGGACTCCCCTGTTTTTAAGAAGTTTTATATGTTTTTAGAAGCATTCACCGTAACTTACAACAAACTATGTTTAAAGTAGTTTATGAATAATTCTTTTGAGTGACTTTTAAAAATTCTTGTGAGTCAACGTTCATTACAATTTACACTTTCAGGATAATAATATATTCTATTTACTAATTTAATGGTGAAATTTCTCAGAAATATGCTGTTAAAAAATCTCATCATATAAAAAAGTACGTAACGAACAAAACTCGTATGGGGTTAAGCACCATCGTTAATGCGTCATATAATTAGTTTATTGCTGTATCATAAATCGATGAGCGATTCCTGAGTCTTATCAATTTATTCGTAAAGCAATAAGAAAAGAAAAACTTGCCAATATTTTATGATAATTACTTGATATGGAAATTTTTGTTTTTTTCATATAGATTAAAGATACTTTTGGTTCCATAAAATCAAATTCATCTAACGGTGGTTTTGACTCGTCCAGCAGAACGAAAATAGAACAAATTGATGGTTACACTCGTAACGACCTAATTAGTCTTACAAGAGCAACGACCACATCTTCACTTTCATCAATCCGGTCTCTTTTCTATAAATATATTCAACGCAATAGATTGACAAATTCAATTAAAATATCCGCTAATGAAAAACAGTTTATAATGAACCGAAAAAATTCAAATGAATATGGTCACTCTATCAATTCAAAACGACGATCAACAGTAGTCGGACAAGGAGAAGTACAGAATCTTTTACTACCAAAATCATCACTAAGTCCTCAACATCGTTTATGTCAACCACCAAGAGCAATATTCAAAAGGAAAAAGCGTTCTTTCAACGATACACTTGAAGACAAAAGATTTAAAGATGATTCCATCGCCAAGCAAGATAATGAACAACAACAATTAGTTTGTACTGGTATTAAAACACACAGATTATCATTGCCAGCTATCCGATATGATTCATGTCATTATTATCGAAATTCTCTGCCTGCCAATACAATTAAAACAAAAGTGACTATTGAAGATCAACCTCGAGATATCGCAAATGATCATCAAAATTCAGTAACATCTGACCGTAGCCAATCACAATCACCTACACTAGTTGAATGTAATGGTAACGGTAATGTTAAAACAGTGCCTTTATCAAAACCTATTTCATCCGTTGATAATAATAATAGTAATAATAATAAAGATGACGAAAATCGTCGAGTAAATCATCGTAATCAACCGATACGTTTATCGAATCCGTGTAATTCAAGTCGTTATAGCCAACATGCCGTAGCTCAATTCATGCATGAAAGACGTAAAGCATGTTTAAGACGAAATCAAAAAGCCAGTCGAATGCTCGGTATGTATAAAAAAAAAGAAATAAACTATTTAACATTTTAACTTGTTGTTAGAAAAAAAAAGACGAACAGGCCTTTCGGAGCGTGCACTGTGTCTAGGGACATTTTTTAATTATTTTTCTCCTAATTTTGACAATATACGAAGTGTCAAAGTTCTCGTGAAGATAAACGTCAAACAAATAGCGAACTAAAGAGAACCCTTAATCATTCTGAAATAGATGCTTGAGTATTTCTACTTAGAAAAAAAAATTAATTAAAAACTTCTCATTGGCTTAATTTATTTCTAGGCATTTTGCTTGCCGTCTTTCTTATTTGTTGGCTTCCTTTTACAATATTTTATCCAACATCGATATTTTATCCAAATAAACTGTCCAATGAACTTGAAAGTATCACATTTTGGTTTGGTTATGCCAATTCATTGTTGAATCCTTTTCTCTACGTGTACAGTTCTCGAAATTTTCGCCAAGCTATTATTGAAACATTATGTTGTCATGTTCGATTACGAGCACGGCAACGACAACGATTACATTATCAATGGTCAGTTCGTACTGCTCAGAACTAGCGAGCTTGTTGTAAATTTTTGTGAAATATGTATTTTAGAAACGAAATAAATATTTTAAACAAATACGAAACAGTGAAACTGTCGAAAAGGTTACGCGCTTTTGTATTTCATATAGATTATCCTGAATCATCCATAAAAATTATAATTTTGTTTTTAGTAGAGAAAAATCTTTGTTAGATGTTTTTGTATGAAAAAAGTTTGGGAAAAAAAAGATCTAATGTATTATCAATAAAATCTAGTCGATCAGCACCAATTATTATAGATAATAAATTTTTAATTTTCAATTCAAAACCAACCGAACAGAATAATTCGTCAGTAAAGAAATTTTCATCGTTATTAAATGTGAAATCAACTGGAGCATTTCATGATCATACAAATGCAAAAAATAATCAACAAGAGTTGGATGCTATGAATAAAATAGTCGATCAAACTGATCATGATCTTCGACGTGCACTTAAATATGCAAATTTAAGACATGAACAACTTGACGAATTAGAATTTCGATCAGAAGAAATGCTTAGCAAGAATGAAAATCTTGTATTTGGTAATATTATTAGACGCTTCGGTTTATCTGAATTTGAGAGAAACAAATGAATTTTTCATAATATACTTTACATAATGAGACGTAGAACTTCATCTACTATTTTCTTTCGTAAAAAAACTCAAGCTCCATGCTTAGAACAATAGATTTAGTCAGCTTCAATTTTTCCTCCAAAGAGAAAACTGTTACAATCGGCAATTCACGGGAAGTATAACATTTTGGCCTTAGTTTTGTTATTGAGAAATATTTTTACAATGCAATCCCATTGAGATTTTATCCCTTTTTTGTTGGGAAAAATAAAATGTCGAATGGAAGAATATATAAACGAATTCGATTAGAAATATTACCCAAAGGTTACGTAGGTTTAAGAAAAAAAATTGTCGAGAAAGTTTTTTGAACCTTGAAAACCTATGCAAAAAATGCTCCTATTGACCTTCTTTTGATAGGGATAACTATTATAGTATTTTTTTTTATATCCATCGATTTTTCTTTGCGCAACTACTGATGACAGCAAAACAATTAAATTTTACTGCGAAGTGTAGAATTCTATAAAGGCTTTAGATCTGATATAAAAATAGAATTTTATCAAGCACTTATCTAGATGATATAATTTGCAACAGGGTGTTACATCTGTTCAACATATTCATACAGAAATGTAAAGTCGTATAATAAATTTTCTAATAGATCCATCTGTTTTTCAATTTTTTATGCGCGTAGGTTGTCTTGATATAACACCGAAGATAACATTGGTAGGAATAAGCATGCGTACCGTCTTGGAAAACATTGAAAATTGACAATTAAAAATAAATATATTTGACCGAAGTTAGCGCTAGTTTTCTGATAAATGTTTTTCTACGAAGCTAGTGGCGTTGGCACAACATTTTCGATCAAATATTTTAATCTGATGTTCTACTAAACATTTTTCCATTACTTTAAAAAAAGTATACTACAATCAGTACCACACAGTGATTTATCTACTGTGTAGGCCAGGTGGGCGGCGTCCATCCGAAAATATACAGTTGATTTCATGAAAAGCTATATGGCAACCAATGTTTTAGCCAGCAGTCCCTCCAAAAATTTCAACTATCCACCCAACGAAACCTAGATAAAGCACTGGTACCACATTGCACTTAATTCTGTATAAAAAATAGCACTGATGAAGAGTTATTATGTCCTTTGTTATCACGTCAATTTGAGAGTAGTGATAATGACTCACGATATAGAATTCAGTGTTTTATCTAGATTTTTCGCTCCGGAAGGGCGAATTCAGCTATCGGGAGGGCAGACAAAAGTTTTTTAAGGGGCTAACTACCATGAATAATATCGAGTCCATCATACTGACGCGTTCAAAAGATCTGTGTTTTGCACGTTATATAAAAGTTAATTATTTATTCCATTTTTCTCGGGAGGGCAAAATGTCCCTTACCCTCCAATTGGATAAAACACTGATAGAATTCTATATCTGAAATATGATTATGAAAAAAAAACATACTTATGTGGCATCACCCCAGGCAATAGCGTCACAGAAAATTAATCTTCAGTGTATTTCGACTATTCTAATTAAACTGTCGAAACAATACAACAGGACATGCGCATCGTCCTTTTGGAAAAAAAGATCTCGGTAAGACAATAACTTCATAAGTGGCTATTTGATACATAAAAACTTTAAATAATATAACGAAGGGTGTCTATATCGTAGTTTGACGAGAGTGACATAGTCTTCCATTGCTGAAAAAGCTGTTAGCGCAATCCCTCTGGGATTAAAATGTGAAACACGATGAAACTTCTTTTCTGGAATTCGTCTATCACTATCTCTGATGGTCTGTGGAGCTTCTCTGTTATGTTCTGTATTATGATGTACGGAGTCTCTAGAAACCATCACAAACCGTGACAAAGAAATTAATTAGTTTCTCTGTTCCGGTCTGTGGGGGGCGGGCGGGGATGGGTCCATATTTCTACCCTATATACTTCAACACTCCTTTCAGATCGTGTTTCACAAAATATTGAGTATCGCAATCAGTTAAACAAAACAAACAGCAATACCAAAATCACAATCATACCGTCGAAAAAAAAGTTGATGGTGCTCTTATTATGATTAAATCGAAATTTCCTGGTGGGTCCTTCTTTTGTAATAATAATATATATATGTATATCGGTGTGTTCTATCCGTTCTGATGTTTGTTTCATTTCTCAATTTTAACTAAATTACAAAGAAATCGATCGATATTTTTAATGAAGAATAAATTAGATAAAATATTTGTTATAGTTATCTCTCATCTCAAACAGTCGAGAATTAGACTATCCTTGGACTCATCTGGAAACGCCTTTTGTTCTAATGACATTTTAAACTGTAATCTAAATCAATGATCTTTCTCTTTGTAAATTGATTCTCTAGCTTGTGTTTCACAGATTATATTCATAGAAATGCGAAGAAAACACATCGTCACGAGTTTTTCAGATTCAGACAATGATATTTACGATGAATTCGATTGAGTGATAAATTTTTTCAAATGAAATCTTGTATTCATAGGCATTACAAACTATCGAAAAACTCAAGAACGTGATCTTCTATGGCGACGATTACGATATATTGCATTAGGAGCAATAACAATAGGAATTATTATACTGTTAATTATTTTAAGTATGACTACTAGACGACCGGCACCGTCGTCACAAGTAATAAATGTACGACATTTCAATGATGGCATCTCCAATAAAAATAGCAATAAAGACGTCACTTCAACGATGAAATTAATAACATCTTATCGACGACGAAAAAAATAGAAGCGTTAGCAGAAATAAATGAATTACAATCTTCGAAATTTGACTGCGTTTGTAACTGTGTGATTATAATCTTTAATGTTTTCATCGAATTTTGTTGTTGTATTAATATTTCTCTAGCGCGTTTATTCACTTTTTCGTACTGTTTGATAATAACCTTTTAATATTCAGTCTTTTACTTTGACACCTATATGGGTTCCAATGCTAGCACTAATAAAACTACTAGTTCGTCGAATAGTATCAGAAGTAGTACGTGCTCAATAAATGATACTATACTCAAAAACGATTTAAATGGAAATGAAAAAAATTCACATTGCCAATCAATACAATCACCTGCTTATATTAAAGATAAATTTCGATTAGAATTTCTTGATTGTAATTGTTGTTGTGATACAACAAAAAAATTACCCGATTGTGATTTTCAAGGTATTAATGTACTACGAGATCTATATGATCTGGTAAGTGAACTTGCAGATTTCGACATCTATGTGGAATTATAGTTCAATAAAGATTTTAGATTGTTTACCTCTTCTCACAGAGACGTTTTTATGATCATTGGAAAGGCTTCACTGAGAAAAATTTTTTTTCGAGATATCAAACAGTGGCGAGTAAAGACCAGAAATTTGGGTACCTTAACAAAATGCCCTCGCTTAAAGCACGATTTTTTCGAATGTAAATCGATAAGGTCCAGTGAAAACTTTGTGGCTTATTGTCGAAAATTCATATCCTTTTCAAGTTACTAAAATTTGACATCACTTTTAAATATACGTGCGATTTTAAATTCTATAGAACAAAGCTTAACAACAGTGTTTTACTAAGGTTTCATAATGCAGTCGTTTTATTACATTTAATATCTCCTGTTCAATTATCGAAAGAAAGCTTCTGCTGAAGTTTTGAAGTACTCGCAGCATTGATAAGTATAGAATATAGTAAAATTTGAATATTTTGGTTTGTGCAAGCTGTTTTGTAAATAATTTTTTGTGATCTAAAAAAACATTTTCAACAAATTACTTGCAGAAAAATAAAAGCTACTCGAAATTTTAAGTTAACCAGAAAATAGAGTTATTTATTTAACAAAAGCATTGAAAAAAAATTTTAAATTCTCAATTTTATTGTATTTCCGGAGAGCGGATGCCTAATTTAGTTATTAATGTTTTATAAATAGACTTTAAAGTGCAATAATTATAAATTTATATTTCATTTTTACTTCACCTGTCACGTCCCATTGCAAAATTAATTTCATATTTATAATTTTTTTTAGTTATCAAATTTCTGAATGAATTTCATTCGTATTAAAGAAATCGATTCTGACAAAATATTTCATTTAGGTTGTAGCACCTGAATATAAAATAAATTGTCGATGTTCATGTGGCGACAATACTGGTGAACCAAAACAAATGATTAAATTTGGTCTAACAGGTTCACCGAATATACAACTAACAACACCTGATGATGGTCCTTGCTCAACATCTAGTGACTCAGAAGGAAGGAAATGACAGAGGGCGCTAGTATTATAGACATAGGTTTCTAAACGAACCAATACATCGTTTCTATATTTTTAATACCAGTATTGGCTGCATACGATATGAATGAAACTTCAGAGTGACTTTTTTTTCTTTCTTTTGGATTGTATCATAATAAAGAAATGAGTGAGCCTAATGGAAATACAAAACGGGATGAATATTGTGGTGAATCTTTGAATGGTGATGAAAATGAGGATCTATTGGATCACCTTAATGACTCGGATGATAGCGAGGTAATCTTTTTTATTTACTTAAGACAACGAAAAAACATGGTTATTTATTGTCTTTCAGGAGGATCGTCGTTTTATAACTGTTGGCATATGTGCGCAATGGAAAAAAGTCAAAGCCAAACCTATGGAAGAAATTTTGCATCGTTTAGAACAATTTGAATTTATGCGCATAATTGTGTTTTCGGAACCCATGATACACGAAAAACCTATTGATGAATGGCCATTTTGTCATGTGCTAATTAGTTTTCATAGTAAAGATTTTCCATTAGCTAAAACGCAGCAATACGCTCGTCTTCATAAACCATTTCTTATCAATGATCTTGATAAACAGTGGGATATTATGGATCGTATCAAAGTACATGAAATACTTAACGATGCTGGAATAGCACAACCACGTTATGGTCTATTGAGAAGGACTTTAAATGCTGGTAATGCAAGATTTAGTTTTGATTAATTTTTCTCTATGATAGTATTTTTCGTTTCCTGACTAGATGGAATATGGCAAATATTGTCTGTAGTTAATGAGCAAGATGATCAAATTGAAATCGACGGTGAAGTATTTCATAAGCCATTCGTAGAAAAACCCGTATCAGCTGAAAACCATGATGTTTATATTTATTTTCCATCATCAGCTGGTGGCGGATCACAAAGATTATTCCGAAAGGTATTTTAAAATTTTGCACATTATACCCGATAGCAAATCATCAGTAATCACTTAGTTTCGCGAAGGTTCGTTTTTTTCCTATAGAAATTATTTTTTCATGTTTCAGTGCGTCAGTTTCTTTATAACAGATGCAGCCCTGGATAAAAGTAGCGGCTGTGTATGAAGTGCTGCTTATTTTTAATCATATTTTGGATGCATGCATGTAACAATAAACCCTAATCGGAAGCATTATCCCACTCTTCACAAGTTCTGAGGTACCCGAGATACGATTCATCCATTTAGTTTTTGTGTAAAAATATATGCAGCCCTGTAAGTCTTTGCTGTTCATTGTAGTTACTATTAAAAAAAAAACGCGACTAATATTGTTGTTATTGCTTTTCTTCTATAGCTGAAGGCAGTCTCATACGTCTAGTTTGCTATCGTTAAAATCCCTGGCGTATAGACACACACCACAATCTGATAGCAATAATTTGACTTTTCATCTCGAAATGTTTGACTAGAATTTTCATTCCGTCGGAAAAATACAACTAGAGTGTAGACCGATGCTTTCGAATTGGACTTATTGTTGCATGCATGCATTTCACTATCATAAAGGGTAATGTCACACTTCATCATAGCAACTATTATTGTTAAAGGCTTTGCATGACTTAAATCCTTACGTACATATAGACTCAATCATCTTGTTTATTAAGTATTGTTTTGAGAAACTTAGGATAAATATGCTCGTCAACAATAATATCCAGTACCACTTCGATGAATCAAGATACAGTGTAATTAGAGAAAAAAAGATGAATATATTATGCTATAATTGGCTGTTGGTTTTTGCTAATTATCTTTCTGTTGTTGTTTTTTTCGCTATATTTAAATTTACTCAATTAGACTGTTTTTCTTTCAGTGAAATTTAAAATTTTCGGAATGTATTCTATTTAGATTGGTAGTCGAAGTAGTGTTTATACATCTGAAAATAGTATTCGTAAGGATGGTTCATATATTTATGAAGAATTTATGCCAACAGATGGTACAGATGTCAAAGTATTTATTTTGTTCATTTATCGTTTATGCATTCGGATAAATACATGACTTGTAGGTCTATACGGTTGGTGCTGAATATGCACATGCCGAAGCAAGAAAATCTCCAGGACTTGATGGGAAAGTCGAACGAGATGAATTTGGTAAAGAAGTACGTTATCCAGTTATATTACGGGCTGATGAAAAATTAATTGCCATGAAAATATGTTTGGCATTCAAAGTACATTATCTAATTAATAAAATAAATATATATATATGTATGTCTACTCGTATGTTTTCTTTTGCAGCAAGCTGTATGTGGTTTCGATTTACTTCGTGTTGAAGGGAAATCATTTGTATGTGATGTAAATGGTTTTAGTTTTGTTAAAAACAGTACTAAATATTATGATGATTGTGCATCGATTCTCGGGTATTTATTTTGAAAACAATTTTAAATAAAAAGAAAAGTTGTTTCTTATAATTCTTAAGACATATGATTATGCGTGAACTTGCACCAACACTTTCCATTCCATATCCATTAGCTTATCAAGCTAATGATCCGCCTTTTGTACCAACTGCACTAGGCACAAGAATGGAACTTCGATGTGTTATTGCAGTTATTCGACACGGGGATCGAACGCCAAAACAAAAAATGAAAATGGCTGTTCTACATCCATTGTAAGATAGACAAATCCAGAGTGATTTATTAGCCTTGCAGCACAACTAAATTAGTTTATATGTCTATAGAAAATAATCCCTGGTCGAGCGTTTGCATACACGAATCGTAGGAGTATGCGTGTCAATCTGTCACATGATGTACATCTTCGCTTTTATCGATACGCATAAAAATACGATGATGACATTTTCAAAATCCATTAACTAGAAATTCGCCAAAAGAAACAGTGAAAAACTTTAAAATATGTCCCTTTGAAAATCTGCGCCGGTACTCATCTACAAAATGTCATAGGCCATGATAACCTTCGTTCAAATATAATTAAAGGTCATCCAGGAGCTGTTTCCGTCTTGAATCCCTTGAGACCTAAGTAACAAGATTACGACGAAAGCGTCTTAACAGTAAATAGAATAAAGCAATCCCCTTATGATGAACTATGTAGTTACATCGCGTTTCATATTTTAATCGCATAGAAATCACACTAAGAACTCTTTTATACAAGCAGTAATCTAATTACACAAAAATCTTATTAAATTATCATGTATTTGTTGTTGTTTGCTTTGTGAATTAGTCAAAATCTTCTAGAAATTTTAATGTAGATTTCAGTTGTTTAAAACTTTAAATAATTCGCTCAAAATATAATATTCAAGTTTTTTATTCTATCCGTAACTTCAACCGGTAGATAGTGGGATGTATTGAATAAATGAGTAAGATTCATAATTATAACCGTCTAAAACTCTGCTGTTATAGGGCATCATTCGATACTTGATTTTAAAGAATTGTACTCATTGATTTCGAAAATTGTTTTTTTTTTATATTAAAAATTAAGATATTTCATTTAAAAGATTCATATAGACACCTAAGACTAGTAGAGAAAAAGATCAGTTAGAGTTTTTCAATTCGGGTTGTGCAGCAAAATAATTTAATTGTGCGTCAAGATCATGAAATAATTATCGTGTTCGTGCATATATTTATCTTTTTTTTATTAAAAGATTTTTTCAATTATTCGAAAAATATAATGGTCCAAAATCAGGTCATCTGAAATTAAAACATCCGGGACAACTTCAAGTTCGTTGACATTTGTTTTATATTCGTATTAATTCAATGTTTTGTTTATAGGAAGTTCTTGATATAACTCGAGCACTACTCAAAGAACTTGATGATAAAGGAATAAATGTAAAATGAAGAAGCAAAGCATCTTTTTATTTATGAAAATAATTGATTTTATTTCTAGCGATTTCCTAATTCATCTGAAACACGAGGCAAACTAGATCAACTCAGACAAGTATTAGAATTATATGGGCATTTTTCTGGTATTAATAGAAAAATTCAATTGAAATATTTACCAAAAGGTCTACCGAAAAAAACCAGTAGTGAAGATGGTAAACAGAGAAAGCCTTGTTTTCGTTCTGAATTTCTTTCTTTCTAAATTTTCTATTCAGAACCCAATAACATGCCATCTCAACCTTCATTACTCTTAGTAGTTAAATGGGGAGGACAATTAACTCAAACAGGAAAAAATCAAGCTGAAGCACTCGGCAAAGTAAAAACATTATAATTTGCTTTTCTGTTACCCAATGAATTTTTATCGTGTATAGGCATTTCGTAAAATGTATCCAGGTGGCCAAGGTGCTGTTGGCGATCGGCCTGATGTTGGTCTTCTTCGTTTACATTCCACATTTCGGCACGATTTAAAAATCTATGCGTCCGATGAAGGTCGCGTGCAAATGACAGCTGCGGCTTTCGCTAAAGGATTATTAGCACTCGATGGTGAATTGGCGCCTATACTTGTACAAATGGTAAAAAGTGCAAATACAAATGGTTTACTTGATAACGATGTTGATTCAACTAAAGAACAACAAAAAGTCAAACACACATTACATGACCTTTTAGCAAAAGATCGATCGTTTACACAAGAGGATTATGATACCGTTAGTAATGAAAAATCAATGGAATTTTTATACATTTAATTTAATTTATAGATAGCACCAACTCGTTCACGTTCTTTAATATCATCTATGAATTATATTAAAAATCCTGTTTCAGCATGTCGAAATATATATCAGTATATTCATGAAATGATTGCACTTATTCAATCTCATGAGCTCAATCCTACTTCAGGTAAACCGATTGTTCCAAATATTATTTGTATGCGGTTTGAAATGTGAAGTACGACATATTTCGTGTATTTGTAGACGAATTATTTCATTCGGAAACATGGGATCTTTGCTTGAGACGATGTACGCTTATAATAAATTGGTGCCTATTATTGTTATTTTTTCATTCATATTTTTAGGGTTGAAATTATCAAAAGATTTTTATGATAAACAAAAAGATAGATTTAACATATCAAAAGTACCTGATATATATGATTCAATAAAATATGATTTACTTCATAATAAAAATGCTCTGCAATTTTCCTGTGCAGAAGATTTGTATGTATGTTCGAAAGCATTAGCTGATATTGTTGTACCTCAAGTAAGAAATTGTACATTTTTAGTTTTGTTTTTTGTCTAAATAACTAATTTAGGAATATGGTATGACAGTTGATGAGAAGTTAAGCATAGCTCGTGGTATTATTACTCCATTACTTCGTAAGATTCAAGCTGGTAAGTACAAAGATTGTGAATCAAAAGATTTAAAAAGTTTTCTTCTACGTTTAGATCTTCAGTGTAATTTAACTGGTGTTCTTACTCATGATGAACATGTTAATAAATTAGATCCAAGGTAAGAAATTCAATTCTACGTTTGGAAGAATGAATCACATAAAAAAAGCAAAAACTTAAAGTAAAAACTCTGCAATAAATTATCATATCATAGGTATTTAAACCAAGACGATGTAGATCTCACCAGGTATTGCTTCATCGATGCTGCATTCTTTTTCTTGATGCTTTCAGTTTAGATTCTTTTTTTTTCTTGCATCATGACCAAGGCAAAGCAGGATTTATTTTTTGAAATTTATACTATTAGCTATACAGACGTAAATTTCTGCAGTATTCGCGATATATTTTTCTTTTTTTAATGCTATTATTAAATATAAAAAGTATTTCTTTTTATTTATTCATTGTAGCTATTCAAAAGGTATACAGACACCTGGTCGACATGTGCGTACAAGATTATATTTTACAAGTGAATCTCATGTCCATTCGCTCCTTACAGTTATTCGTTATGGTGGTTTACTAGACGTAAATAATATTTTATTTTAATAAATCAATAGTAACATCCTCATCTATCGATTGCAGGCATCCGACGATGAACAATGGAAGCGTTCGATGGAGTATTTAGATACCGTATCTGAATTGAATTATCTAACACAAATTGTTATTATGCTATATGAAGATTCAAGTGAAGAAGAAAATTCTGAAAGACGTTTTCATGTTGAACTACATTGTTCGCCCGGTGCCTATGGATGTTTTGATGTTTTACCAGAGGTAAATTATTAAAACAAATTAAAAATTTCAACCATTCGAATGAAAATATCCTTTCGTTAGGCCGATTCGGTTACTTCAAATACCAATCGTACTGTTTTACCAAAAAGTAATCGGCAAGCAGCTCATAGTCCGCCAAGACATCACATTCAAATACCAATAGCATCGTCATTAGTAACGTTGACCGAACCGAATATCTCATCATCATTACCATTATCTCCATTAGCAGAATCTTTACCAGTAGAATCTTCGCTAGCAATATTAACGCCATCATCTAAACCAAATTCAGAATCGACTTTAAATACAATTGAAGATACAGAAGAATCGACACAGTCCGAAAAAATAATTCAGAAAATCATGAAACCCCGACCATTTATATCGAAAACAGTTTATCGAAGTCGAAATGGAATGACACCAGGTCGAACACATTCCGGTGATTTTTCTTGCAATGCAACTCATCGTATGTTGTTGTTGTTGTTTTTAAATTTATTGCTATTTTCATTGTTTGAAAAATACGCCACTGTAGGTTCCGAACATCATACAATTGGAAATAATAATGTTATGAAACCGAAATCTCTTGAAGATGACGAATCAGATTTACAGCGTAAGTCTATCGAGTTAATTTACTCCGTTTCTATTGTTAATCAAGCACTTATATTTTTATTATTTTGAAAAGGAAAAGTTTTCTACCGTCGTCTCTTAGGTGGGAAGAGGGCAAATGGCGTCGTTATATACTGTTTTGCTCAGTTTAACTTCTTCTAGTGTTATCTAGAGCATAATATATTTGCTAATTTGGGACTTTTTGCTTAACATTCCTTCTTCTATAGACGTAACATCACAGCAGACTGTATTACTTAATTCATTTTCGACGAAATTTCGTCGAAAATTGAGTACAAACTACAGTCTATGTTCAGCAAGATCTCAAACGAGTTTGCCATCTAGTCAAGATGTTTCGCGTCGAAATTCGGGTATAATAAAAGCACGTATTATTGAGTTTATGGAGGTCAAATGATCTTACTCACTTGTTTTACATACTCATATTATGAAATATTTATCTGCGCGCGTTTAACAATGCATATATATGTATATATGCATGTATCACTTTAATCGATGATTATGTGTTTTGCTCATCTATTGAAATATTGCTTCTTAGTTTGTCTATTGGAATTTTTAATGATTCTAATATAACATCTAGATTATTTAACATAGGATAATATTGTTTTGTAATCGTTTTAGAATCGACTCTATCGCATAATTACTACAATACAGTACATGGCAATTCTTCCGATAAGCATAGATGTATGTTTTACTATTCGTTTTGTTTACCATTTTATATATTTATCAATGTTATTCTAGCTACTTATGTTCCTTTGACAAGTATTTTTAGTACAAAAGTAATTACCGGTGCAAAATCGACGCCTGATCTCAATAAATTACTCGAGCGTAAACAAGCTGGATGTATGTATACCTCGAATTTTATAAGTCATCGTACACCTGTGCCAGTAGTTCAAATATTGTAATGCGAATTCAACAAAAGCCTTAAAACAATTTTTTTGCTCCATTTTTCTCGGCTACGAAAATTAGTTAAATTTCCAAACAGCATTGACCAATAAAAATCTTCTCCTATTATCTTTAGTTTTGCATTGCTTCTCTTTATTCTATGTCAAGATAATGAGTCGCGTAATATTCGAGTCTTTCGATATTCTAAACCGGGATTGTGTTCATCTGAACAAATATAATGTAACTATATTTTATTTTGTTTCAGTAATATGTTTCGAAACTGCTGTTGTTGCTCCGTTAGAAACATTAAATACAAATTTAAATTATAAAATTCTTGATGATTTTATTGGTAAAATAACCGATTCAACAACGAAACTTTTTTCGCCAATTTTACTCGATGATGAAAACAAAAAAATCAAAACTGCCAATGACGAACCACCGATTTCACCCCCAATACATATTCCATATGGTTAATTATATTGATTTTCATTATGTTATCTAATTAATTTCTATCTCTATTTCTATTGTAGTATCAACAAATCGATTTAGTGTTGAATCTGTTGATAATGCTAACAGTACAATTGTTGAAAATGATAAAAAGCTACACGTTGGCTTTAGTAAAACAACACACTATTCAATAAACACAATAGCAGAATTACCTGAAAAATCATTAGACGAAGAGCGGTAAACGTATATTATATAGTCATATGGACATCAGTTATTTATTTATTTATTTTTATTGATCTTTAAACTACGCGGTTTTGGTGACAATCTCGTTTATCTATTATTTCCTTGATTTATTGGTGATATTGGTTTAGTTGTTAATATATTAATTTTCTTTTTATATTTTGTCTATATTGACTAGATAATGCATAAATACATAAATATTTTGATTTAATAAAAATAATTTTAAAAACCGAATCTACATTTGTTTTTGGAGGGCGGAAGAATTATTTTCATGAATATAATATTAGACAGAAACAATGTTCTTATTAATTGAATAGATATGGAAAAATTTATGCAGGCCCTTCAATTTGCTGCTCACAAACATCGATTTCAAAAACGAAAGGATCCCGATCAAACACCTTATATAAATCATCCAATAGGTGTTGCACATATTTTGAGCAACGAAGCGGGTGTGACCGATTCTGATATACTTGCTGTAAGTGGTTTTTGTTCCAGCGAGTGATATTTGTTTTTCAGAGACATAATTCTATCTATCAGGCTGCACTTTTACATGATACAATTGAAGATACGCAGACAACATTCGATGAGCTTCAACAAGAATTTGGACCTCGCATTGCAGGTATTTACAATCTTCTATTGAGAGATATTACATGCGAAAGCGGCTTTATAGGCCAATGACATTTTCATAGTAGTTATTTACGAAATAATTTTTATTTAAATATAAATATCAAAGTTGTTTTTGGAAATACCGTTTCGTAGTTTATTCAATAAAGAATATTTTATCCAATGTAAAATCTACGCGCTTAAAAAATTGTTTCATTAAGATAAAGTAAGCTCGAATTTTATTTGTCCAACTTATTTGAATTATTTATAATAGGAATTGTAGCTGAATTAACTGATGACAAAAATTTGCCGAAAGCGGAACGTAAGCGTTTACAAATTGCTAATGCTGATAAGCTAACTTTGGATGCTGTCATTGTTCGTCTGGCTGATAAAATATACAATCTACGTGATTTAAATCGTTGCACACCTGTTGGTTGGTCTGACGAACGTGTTAAAGACTACTTTGAATGGTCATCCAAAATTGCACCTCAATTATTTGGACGCAACGCTCAATTGGATGCTGTTCTAAAAGAATTATTTCTTCAAAAAAACATTCGATTTGATTAAAACAATTTCTTTTACTTTCGATAAAATCTCATTATATTAATCAGAACATCACAATAAATCGATAGTTCATATTTAAAGTCATATAAAGACTTTTTCAAAGAATAAATGCATCTTCATTCTGAAATAATAGCAACAGTATTGACTATTTTCCGGAAAAAAAGAAAACATACTTTACTATCGAACTGTTTTATTGCACGTGTATAGAACGGAGTTTACGAAAATATAAATCTCAAGTTGACATCATTGAAGTAGAAAATTATAGTTCATATAATTAAATGTTTATCGGAAAAATTATGCACATGTGACTATGCCAGAGTTTATACTGGTGAATTGTATTGTATTCAACTTCACTAAACGTATATTATAGAAGAATTATTTCCTTCAACAAAGAAAAATTTGTTCATCCGTTTTGCACCAAAAACTCAAATCACGATGAATAACCAATAGTTTACGCATGCTATCATATCTGTTATTATTTACAAAAAATATCTGGCCATCCTACGTAATATACGAGGAGAAGGATAGAACCTTTACGTTTTGAAGTCTCTCACATTTCATATTTTATTTTCAAAAGGTTTTTTCAAATTATGATCATATCAAACAATATTTTCCAATAGATTTGTCAACAGAATCTCCGTCCATTGTAGTTTGTATCTGCGTAGTTATTGCGTGAGACTCTCGCGCAATCTTTTTTTTTAGTTTATCATCTCAACAATTCTTTCGTGCTGCAGAGAAGACAAATAACGAGCCAAAAGCTATTGTTAGAAACAAATAATATCACAAAATTGTGTCCTTCTTCTTAACTTTTTATCATCTAGAGTCACACGTTTATTTGCTTGTTTTTAAGAGCTCGTATTATTCATGTCCTTTTCGCAGGTCTACCGTCGAACGAACAAAAGAAAGAAAGAATTACTTCTATAATGGATGATAGAAGAGCATGATAAGCAACATATTTAATGACCAAAGAAAAAGAAAGAATAGTTTTAACCGCAAAATTTTCTTTGCTGCTGTTATGTCTTTTCTTTTCTTATATTGTCTTCTGTAATTTCCCTGATTCTGTTTCGTTTTAAATATAAATTGTCTTTAATGGATTAGAAGTTGTCTAGTATCGTGAACATTCTCTCTTTAGCGTCGTAGACAATAGTGATTAGTCATACTAATGTAGAAGTCTTTAGAATGAGCAAAAACCGTTGATAACTTGTAGAAGAAAATTATTTATTTAATTTCGGTATGTATCTACTAAAATTTTGATTGTGCTTTTCTTTTTTTAGAAATTTCTTTCTGATACAAAACAGAAGAGGATGCGATTATGAGGGTTTCTTTTTTCGTTTTTACTATCAACATTTCGTTGTTTCGTGTCGTTTTGTTATCTTATCTACACATATATGGATGATGAAGGACACATTTCAACTAGAATTCATGACAATCTGAGCAAAAAAGATACGAATGAAGGTTGCCAGACATATTCATCAGTTCAATTCTGGCCTGTTTTTGTTATATGTTTATCTATTTATCGTATTTTTCTTTTCTACACAGGAGAATTAAGTTTTAGAAAAACAAGAATAGTTTGCTCTCGTTTGTAAATTAGATCCGCTGAATAACGTACCACTCGTAAGATACGTATGCCAATGATTCAGCGAATTTCAATCTCTAGGAGAGAAGATATGTAGAAAATGCTATTTCTTGCCTTTCGGTCTCTTCTTTAAGGTTGGATCATGAATATGCGTAGATATATAGGGATACTTATCAGAGTCACCTGCATTCGAGATAGATAGATAGATAGAAGAAAAAGAAAAAAAAGAAAATTTAGTGGTTAAAAACGATTAACAAACAGACAAACAAAGACATATCATGTTGTTCTCAGTTACAGCTCTATGATAGAGAAATTTAGTTATTTTTACGATAAGTCTATAGTTTGATCTAATCGTTACATATATTTTAGTTTGTAGATGTTGATATTTGTATTTAACTAAGAAGCGAATTAGCAAGTATTATTCTGATGTCCTCAAACTACAAAAATGAGCTGCCGAAAAGCAAATTTCGTCTGTGTCGACTACGCACATGGCCTGATTATAAAACACTTGGATTTGCTCTTGATCAAGCATCAACATCCCCAGTTGCTATTAAAAGTATTGAATCGAATAGTCCAGCTGCTGCTGGGGGTCTTCGAATGCGTGACATGATTCTTTGTGTCAATAGGCAAGATGTATCTGAGAGTGGTACTCAAGAAGTAACTGCTGCTATTAAAAACGCACGAGATACTGGTGATTACGTTGAGTTACTTGTTATTGACGACATTTCTTATGACGAATTAGGCGACTTGATCAGGCCATTCAATTTTGAAAAAGCCGAAAAATTCAGCACACCAGCAAAGATGCCATCTGATTACAAGAATTTTCCTAAATATACGCCACGTACTTGTGTAATACCCATGAGTAACAAGGATAAATCATTTGGTTTTGCAATGTTTGCTGGTGAAAATCAAATTGGTGCACACATTCAATATATATTTCCGGATTCACCAGCTAGTCAAACACAATTACGTGCAAATGATCGAATTCTTGAAATCGATGATAAATTTGTTGATGAAGATCCAGCAGGCAGTATTGATAAGAAACTTCGTAAAGCAAAACCTAGCGTTAAATTATACGTTGTTGATACACATACATATAAATATTTTAAAGAAAACGATATACCATTAGAATCGAAAAAGTTTCAAAGAAGTCAATTTGCAAAAGACCAATTGCAACATGGGAACTCAAGGTCATCAAAAAGTAAGAAATAACGAAGACAAACTTGTTGCTCTTTGCAGCAATTAAAATTATTTATTAAGATCCAAGCGACGACATCAATGATGATTCAACGCCTTCGGAACGCAACCAAGGTCAAACCCCGTCAAACATAAAAGGGAATTTTCATCCCCCAGCAAACCATAAAGATGATATTCGTTTATGTACTATTTATCGTACTGATGCAAAAGATATATTTGGATTCCGTTATGATCAAGATGAAGAAGATGATTGCTATAAAGTAAAGATTACACCGGGTCGTGACGAAAGGCCATCAAGTAAGAAGTCGATTGTCTATTCAATCACTTTTTTTCATCTCGATAAAACTTTCTTAGGCACAGAACAAAAAAGGAACAGTTTTGAACATCAAGATATGAGATCTTTGTCGAGTATCATGTGTTTTTTGATTAATTAAAGATAAAAAGTAAATAGACTCGTGCGTTAACTTTGGCCCTAACACTTATCTGTAGCTACATCTCTTTGATATGATCGAATCGTGAGCTGATCATATTCTCCTTCAGTACGGTTTTCATCTCGGTTACTTTATTACTGTTTTGTTTCTATTCTAATATAGACGCTGAACTTGCTGGTGTCAGAAACGACGATTGTTTAATCGAAATAAATGATGAACTAGTTGAAGACCTTAACAGTGCACAAATAAAAAAACTGGTAACTGATACCGAATATCCACAACCATTGAAATTATTAGTCGCCGACGTTGAAACATATAAATATTATCAACAAAACGATAAACCAATTCGTAGAAATCTTCCAAGTGTTAAAGTCCTAACAAATAGACCCCGCCGGTCTTCGTCATCCAATAATTTAAAAAATTCAAGTATGTTGATGATTGATATTTTTGTCTATAAATTTCACATTATTTTGAAGCTATCCCACAATTAATACAATCTTTCCCACAACCACCACCTCAAAAGTTACCAGGATCGGGGATATTAAATTTATTTAACGCTAATCCCATGCAACCAAACAGACCAGGATCAGATTCACGATTAAATCAACGATCTTATAAACTTCAACCTAGTGAAGGCTCGAGTGACTATGGTTTTAGTGTAAAACCATTGGGAAACAATATTAAAGGACACAAAATTGCTCAAATCACGCCAGGCTCACTTGCTGATAAGCAAGGTTAATAAAATACACACACAAAGCATATTTTTTTGATACTTAAATTAATTTTTTTATTCTTAAGGTCTTCCCGCTGGTAGCTGTATTATATCTGTTAATGGCCAAAATGTTCAACACATGGATAAAGAGGAGTTCAAAAACTTTCTGCGTACTGAATTGGCGAATGGGGAGGAAAGGAATAAACCGTTATTGTTGGAAGTTATCGATGAAGATTCATATATAAATCAACAATCACTTCGTATGTCTAATAAACAAACACTGTCAAACTCTCGAAGTTCTTCTGAATTTACGGTACCGCCGCGCAAAGAAGCTTATCCCGAAATGCGTCGTTGTATTATTCGAGTAATTTTTTATTTTTAAATTTAACTTTCTTGTTCTATATTTTGTTAAATCCATAGGCTTGGCCACAATACAAACAACTTGGTTTTGATACCGCGCCATTGCCGCATGCAGCGCTTAGACAAAAGGGATGTAAAATACAACAGCTTGATGTAGATTCACCAGCTGCTCGTACGCATATTCACAATGGTGATTACATAATTGAAGTAAATGGCGACAATATTGAAAACGAAGATTATCAACATGTTGACGACCTTATTCATAGCAGATATCGACGAGATCAACGTATTGAATTATTGGTTATCGATAATGATGGTTATCAATGGTATCAAAATCGTAAATATCCTATTGATCCAACGTCAAAAAAAGCGAATATTGTTCGGTAAAATAAAATATTAAACAAAACAAAAAACATTTTCTATTTCAACACATTTTAGACATGAAACACCGGATCCTCCACGTGTTGTAGATTCATCAAGTGACTCAGATAGTGCGGGAAAATCTTCATCAAGTAAGTATGCTAATGCTCCTACAATTGCAAATCCAAATGCAAGTACAACGAATAAAATAAACAATGGATTACAAAGTAAAGTGCACTAAAGTCAAAAATCGAGCAGGAGAAAAATCTCATTTATTATTACATGGTTGGATAGACCTCAATGAGTAGATCATGAATATCATCTTTAAAATGTTTCTAAGCTTCCGCTTTGATCGAGAAATTTTCAAAAGACAAACTGTACCTGAAAAAGTGAATATTTCACTTTTTTAGAAAAAACTCGAAATTTACCTAGTTTAACAATGTTCTAGGTTTAGAAAACTATCATCATCGAATTCAGCATGAAAATCTGAATCTACTGATGTAACGTTGACCAGTAAAAACATAAATTTCATGTTTGAGGAGCTCAACTAGGTCCCCATATAGACACCTTGAAATTGATGTCAATTGCCCTCTTATTTCGAGATTTCTACTGTCAAAACTCAATTTTCATGCAAAATAAACATCAGATTCAGAATCAGCACGAAAAGCAACATTAACTATCATAAAATTTACCAAAAAATGTTTTTCATCAAAATTTTACCTGTGGGAGACTACAGGGTAAAATCAAGAAAAAAAATGACTGAGGGGAGTAACGCTGGAATTTTGATGAAAATTATTTTTTGATAAAATTTATGATAGTTAATGTTGCTTTTCGTGCTGCTTCTGAATCTGACGTTTACTTCGCATGGAAGTTAAGTTTTGACAGTCAAAACCTCGAAAAAAGAGGGTAATTCTTTAACTTAAAGCCGCCGATCCAGTAAAATTCAATTTTCTCAGAGAGGGAATAATAGTTTTCAAACTGAACATATAATTTTGTTCGCTATTGCTTGGCGGTTCGAATCATATAAGAAAGTCCGAGAATTGCCTTCAAAAACAATAGCTGATGATTTTGCAAGACATCAATTTGAACGTGTCTACATGGAGACCTAGTTGAGCTCCTCAAACATGAAATTTATGTTTTTACTGGTCAACGTTACATCAGTAGATTCAGATTTTCATGCTGAATTCGATGATGATAGTTTTCTAAATCTAGAACATTGTTAAATTAGGTAAATTTTGAGTTTTCTCGAAAAAACTGAAATATTCACTTTTCAGATGCAGTTTGTATTTTGAAAATTTCTCAACCAAAATGGAAGCCTAGAAATATTTTAAAGGTGATATTCATGATCTACTCATTGAGCTCTATCCAACCATGTAATAATAAATGAGATTTTTCTCCTGCTCGATTTTTGACTTTGGTGCACCTTAGTAAAAATTAGAAAAACTACAAATATGCAAAACAACTATTTTCTTCTATTTTTACTTTTAAAGCTAAAATGAATCAATCGTCGCAGAAACCATCTTCTATTTTGCAGCCGAGTAAAAATGCATCATCGCGTTATGCGGACGACACTTTATCCCTAGGATCCATTGATATTGTCTCTCAAAACAATCTACTTCGTATATGTCGGTTGACTACGACACCTGGTCAAAAATTTGGTTTTGAATTAAATCCTAATGATGACAGACATATCATTTCAAATGTTGTCAAAAATTCACCAGCAGGTAAAACATTACATTTAAGTTTTTTTTTCATTTTTTTCAACTGTTATTTAGCTCGATCTAATTTAAATGAAAATGATCGTGTGATTCAAATCGATGATGTAAACGTAACAGATCAATCGCATAAAGGTATAGTGACACAAACAGTGGACTTGGTTCAATCTCATCAGAAATCGTATTTCGAGTTTTTCGACATAATATATATATATATCTAGATTAATAGTAGCTATGACCGAAAACTATTCAACGACGGAACAGAATTTTTCAATACGGAACAATTAGAGAGTTTTTATTTGAACCTTAACTATGACCAAGAGCTTCAGTATATATACTAAAAACTGATTCGATGTTAACAATGGTTAAAATTTGCTGCGACTGGTAGATAGGAAAAATCTATATCGTTTGAAGCAGCTACTCATGAAGATGTTGCGTTTGAATAAAACTTGATACGGTTATCTATCGACCTCTAAATGAAGGAAAACCGACAAGCATCAGTTTTATACATGAAAACAAAGAGTGAAGTCATCGAATCTTCTTAAGTGTTTCTACGTAGTTATTCAATGATGAAAACAAACGTGCAGTTAATTGTTCGTATAAAGGAAAAAAGCTGAATCTAATTCAAATTTTCATGTGTTATAAAATTACAAATATATACAATTATCCACGGTTAGAATAGTCATTTTTAAGGAAATTTTAGAAATAAACTGGATAGAAACCGGTAGACATCCATTTTTTTGATGAGCAGCTCTCCTAATACATTCAAAGTTTACGTACATATTCGAACTAAACCTTCGAAATGATAATTTTTCTATGTATTATTTGCGAATGCCGAATATGATATAAAAAAAAATATTTTGAAAGTTTCTTATGCAATCATTTTCTATATAGTGGTATTGGGTTTAATTCAAAATGCTTCTCGAAATGGTAAATTACGATTACTTATTGCACCCCGTAAAAAAGAATCAACAAAAAGTGCAACACAACTGACATTCGTACCGACAGATAATAATCATGGTGGAAATACAACTTTACATCCAACATACAGCAAAACACAACGCACGTCAATACGTGCATACCACTCACTATCATATATTCCCAGTGGATACATAAGATGTGATCATTTGCATAATAATAATCATTTTGCTTATGAAATACCGCGACCTAAAAAACCATGGCCACGTAAGAAATTATTTTAACTAAACAACAGAAATCTCATAATTAATCAATTACATGGATTTTAGGTGAATGCGTCGTTCTTCGAGATACATCTTCATCTCGATGTGGCTTTCGAATAACTCAACGAGAGAATTATGATACACCAATCATTGTTGATGTCAGTCCAAATAGTCCTGCTCAACGAAGGTATACTTTTTTGTTTTTGCTTTACTGCATCCTTCATGATTCCTGTTTCTAGTGGTTTAAGTAAAGGTGATCATATAATCTATGTTGAATCACGCAATGTCCAACAATCTACTTTCCAGAACATTGTTGATTTAATTAAACGTACATTTGATGAAAATGGTCAACTTACACTTGTTGTATTAACAGGACCAGCCTATCACGAATTCAAACGATGTGGCGGCTATTTAGAAATAAAGCCGTTCAATTTTCAATCACCAGAGACTGAAAACATGAAACCACGCTTATGTAAATTAAAATTATCTATCGATGATTATGATTTCGGCTTTACATTAAAAAGAAACGGAGTATTATATGTTCAATCGGTTGAACCAGATTCACTAGCCGATCTATATGGTATTAAAGAAGATGACGTTGTATTGGAATTAAACGGTCACGATACAAAAGCTTTATCAATGAATAAAATAAGTGAAATGGTTGAATTAAGTAAACAAGCACGTGAATTAGAAGTTCTTGTTATTGATCCTGCTGGTTACGAATTTTCAATAACGCATGCTATACCCATTAATTCACATTTACCTTTTGTTGAAACCAAAGTAGAACCAGGTAAAATTATTGATAGAATAAACTAGAAAAAATTTTCAACTGACCATTCGCTATCTTATTGAAAGCTTCTAGATTGTAATTTATCGATTCTAATGATTCGAAATATGACTTCGTCGAGTCCCTGTAGGTTTTCATGTACCCATTTTTTTCAGAACAATAGACTGATAAAGTTTTCGCCAAAAAATGTATAAACTGAAACGCATGCATGAAAAACTTACCCAAATTCTGTCCTTGAAAAACAATCATCGTACTTTTTAATTGACAATCACATAGTTGTTGTAGAAAATTGACTATAGCTGATGGCTACTTTATTCAGGAGAGCTAGTCCAGGTGCAGAACATGACAGAGTATTGTTACTACTATAGAAAAACGTATTCAGGAGATCCTATTCGTCATTGCTAGTCGACGAATATTTACCGAGACCTTCATGATATAAAAACGAGAACTTTCTGCAGGTTCAATGTGATCACAACCACGAGCATTTTTGGAAAGCTAATAAAACTATATTCTCTATCATTTTATTAAATGCTTTTTAGTTCTAGGCAGCGAAAATCGTGCTCAAAATGATCCAGTTTATTTATAGACAGCAAACCCATGAATAAATATTACTAATCATTGCCATGTGCATTTTTTTATATTTTTACTTTTAAGTCTGTTACTTTGTATTTTGTCATGTTTCACACAAAAATTCTTTTTTTTTGTAATTTAGAACAGTTGGTAGTTTCTAGGAGCTCTGTTTTCTCTATCAATCAAATATAGCGATATGTTTTTTTACTTTGATTATTCCATGTGTAACTGTTGATACTTGGATTGCTAAAGCTTACGGTGGCTATTTATGTTTGTTTGTTTTTTCCGTTATTCGTGCAAATTTCTATTCAGTTGATTTATTTTTGTTTGTGCAAGTTTAAAATACAACAATCATTAATTAGTTGCAACGTGAAATATCGAAATATTATAGACTTCATCTTGTATCACCAGAAGAAAATAAATTCAGACTTGAGAGTATTTCGATCACTATTTTATTATTATTAATTCTATGTTTTCTTACTAATGCATCCTCTCTCGTAGAGCGGCAGTTATAGAGAACCCATCATTTTACAATTATTCATTGATTAAAATATAATCGATTTATTATTTGAGTGCCTTTGAAAGACTCAAAAAGAATTTCTATACCATGACATAGTCGTTTTTTGTCCATGTTTACTATTTATTGAAAAATCGGTTGTGTTTGGGACAATTTTCCTTATGTGTATCTAATGAACTGCAGAGTATCTTGAAATTTCCGATTGACAATACTAACTGTCTATTGCAGTTTGCAACTGAATCCATTTGCTAGACTCATTTTTATGAAACTTGAGTTCAGTTGATAGAATTTTACTTCTCAATGAAGATATCCTTGCAGATGTGTTATGAATTCAAATAGTGGAGATCTATTGCGGTGGGTTTTTTCTAGTGGAGCTGCTTTAAAAAGAAAATATCCTTCAAGACTTCAGTGAACATAGTCGAACTTGAGCATTTTTCTTGTCATCTTTTTTGTATTGTAACATCCGCGTGTTAAGTATAAGATCGAAAAGTTCCTTATGATGATAGAATAAAACGTCTACATTTTTGCTTTTGATATTTTTATTAAGCAAAATAAATTATACTAACGATGAATACAAAAAAAAAGAATAATCATTGTAACGACTGTTTCACTAGATCATCTTCAGTACTATTTTGAGCTGGCCACCATGGCCGATGGATTTCATTCCATAATTCGGAATCTTTATTTGTTTCATTCAGTTCATCATAATCGAATATCTTTCGCCAATTGTACGTTGTTGACTGAGGCGTGTCCTATAAATAAAAGAGTTATTATAAAAAAAATAGATATATATATATATATTAATTATTCAATCGAACGTACAATGGACTCTTGCTGTATATCATCTAATTTTGATTTCCAATCTATAAAATAATCGAATTCGAATATAATAAAAGCTTAACTTTCTCTATAGCATTATTACCTTGTATCCAATTTTGTGCACGCGATAGTTGCCCGGGAGTGTCGAGCATCGGCAAACAAGCACATGTCGGACAGTCGAAAAGCTCAGCTTAAAAATATAAAATAAGTTCAACCGTGTTTAATTTTATGCTCGTAACTACCTGGTATAACTTTCTCTGTAGATTTATGTTCATTTTGAAATGTTGAAAAATCGCGTAAGGATGTTTTTGTCATGGCAATTAAAGGTGTTACAATTGTGAAATTTGTCGGTTCACTATTGTATGTTAAACAAGCCGGACATTGAAAAAGTAATGAAAATCTAATTGAATTCAAAGTTTAACAAAAAGAAAGTAAGAGGAGAGAGAGAGAGAGAAGTAAACGAACTTCTTTGACCAATAGTCATTTGCATTTCGAAAACAATCCGGAGGTTGTTTTAATAAACCGTCTGGATCAGGATTCCAAGTTTTTTCTTCATTTTTATCTATGGATTCATTAAAAGGTTGTACATGTATATTACCGGTACTGTTCAACTATGAATAGAAAAGAAATAGATTAAGCTAAATATAGGAATCTAGATTCGTTTTCATTATGAAACATCGGAAATATATGATCGTGATTTCCATCAATAAGTTCATTAAAAAGAAATCAATCGATATCCTATCAGAACTGATGCTTAGAGAATTTCTCAGGTTTTAGAATGAATTCAAAATGTGAGAAATCGTAGTATTGAGACAAAAGATTTTACTTGAAAAAGAAGAAAAGATTTTGTATTGTTTGGATTCGGTACAGCCGCCATATCACGTATTGGAATATCAAAATAAATTGATTTAGCAAATAGTAACTCTTCATTCGTGTGATTATTGTTATTTATTAAATAAATTCGACTATTCGACATAGGACACAGTTCCCACGAAGGACAAACTTGAATCAAACGACGATGCGTATCAGTATTATATTCAAGTACATTGGTATTGAATTCATCATTGATAAAAATAATATGTTGGTCGTTGCATCTCATTTGTGTAAAAGCTGTGGGCGGTCGTAACAATTCATGATGAGAATGTATAGCCTTTAAGGAGAGAAAAAATAAATATGATGCCTAATGAATTTTGTTTCTATTTTTCCTCACAGGTCTATTTGCCATTCGGGAATCGATTATAATTAATGAATAATCAGTAATAAAAACATGTTGATATGGATTCACTGCACTTGTTTTGTAGCCTCGAATAATTTCTGTTTTAGCCAAATATGGATGATGATTACCAATAGTAAAGATTTCTTTAAAAGATTCATTTCGTAAACGTATATCGAATAGAAGACAAGAACCTTGATGACTATCAGCTATTGTATATAAAAACGGCGAAGCATCCCAATCGAGATAGACTTGTCGAGGAGTATCTGATAGAAATGTTTTTTCATCAGTCTGCTGATGAAGATACGTAAATATACCATCGTCTAATAAATAGGTTCGATGGTTTTTATCAATAAGTATAGCATTTGACGGAATGTATGGATTGAAAGATAGAGAAAGAATTGATGTATGTTCAGGTGTTTCAATATGAGATGCAAGAGTAGATGTTTCTGTTGTCGGACTATAGGAATAAAAAGATAATCCTTTCTATCAAAGAAAAAATACAAGTTTTCATTAAAAAATGATCTAAACTAGAAAATACCTGATCTGCAAGAGCAATATTTAATATTTGTTCGTCTTCTACAGTACAATCTAGTAGTTTAATAGACGTTGATGATTGTATAGTATGTCTGCGTTGTTCGCCATGAGATAAATGTTCGACTGTATTTGACCAAAGATCATCGTATGTATTATTCAGTAATGATTGTATGTCTATTAGATAGATTTAAAACAATGAGCGAAATTATAGAATAGAAATAGTTGTTTTTTCTATACTTAATTGATTTTTTTTAGTAACATAGATCAGATGATTATGTTTAGCAATAAGACGATTAGAGTTATTTTTATATTTCTAAAAATGAAATTTAGCTCAATGTTTATGAGCATGATAATTATACTCGTCAGACTTTACTGTCGATAATGTATATTTATTCATATGAGTCAAATCTTCTGTTGCAACTAAAGTTAACAAATATAGTTTCAAATTTAAGTCGAAAGAAAAACAAGAATTACTGGAATAGGCAAACGGCGGTGCAGCTGCTCGAAGAGTAGATGCATATTGAGATGAACTAATTTTTTGCATAACAAAATTTTTATCCACTGCTAGATCCTAAATATCGAACAGATTCTGTTCGTCTTTAAGAAATTTCCTATAAAGTGAGCTCACCATGGTTGTTGTTGGCCATTGATCAAGTAAGATTTCATGTGGTTGATCATTGCAAATTAAATATTCTGGATAGACTAGATCAGGAAATTCTAAAGACGACATTTTAGCAATATCAAATGCCGGAAAATATCATGGAAAATACGAAGACTAAATAATCAAATTTCCATTGGATAGAATCGTTCTAATGAGGATATAAGCCATTTGAAGTTTTCGAACCAATGCACAATTGGAATAATGTCAATGTAAATGAAGTATAGATAAAATAGAAACGTCACTATTCTCTTTGGAACTCTGCATCGTATTTAGATCCAACAAGTGTTTTATTTTTGTAAATAGATGGCAGTATTTATCATTATTCTATGATGCTTCCTCCAGCTTCGCCCAACTTTTTACTTCACTGAATAAAAGTTTAACTGAAAAATATAGAATCAAATATGATTCATTCTAGATGTAGAATTTTATCCTGACTAGTTTAATAGTTAATCGATTAATTAACCACACCCCTTCTCTTATCTAAAATCGGCCATATTTTATTCGGCGAAAGACAAATTTCGCGAAACTGGAATTTCCCGTTTTTTTTCTGCGTGACGTCGAGGAATCAACAGAAGAGATCAAAAGTTCTTTTGTCACTTTGTAACAGCAGAAATATTTGTGATTGTAATATTTCCAACCTTCCGAACACAATTGAAACGAAAAATGAACAAAATAACTACATAGACATGTTTTATATCCATATCAAGCATTATCCATATAATTTTAAGAATCTGAGGAATCCACTGAAAAAAAACTACCTTTCCTTCGATTCATTCATCTAAACAAATCTGAAATTTCGTTTTGGAATATTCAACCATTGACTCATCGTGACGTTTTAGCAAGCCATAAAAACTTCAACAAGAAATAATTCTCGGTTTTACAATAATAACTCAGTAACTATATCTTGAAATGTGGCAATGATACTCTTAGTAATGATTAAAAGCAAAATTCAAAATTCAAATGCTTTTCTCCAAGCATCATAGTCAAACACTGCTACAATATCGATTAACTCATGTATGAGAGAAGTCATTCTTTTATTTTCATGCAAAACAATCAGCCCGTTGATGGCTCTTACTTTTCTTTTCGTTGTTTGGCAATGTCCTTTCCCATCTTGTTTATTCCAATGAATGCAACAAAACAAAAAGCGAACTTCCCGATTGTCAGTTCGTCCAGCTGCATGTCTATATGTACTGCTATGAAGGAGAAAAACTTGAAAAGAAAGAAGAAAATTGAGAATGACAAATATTTACTGCGTCTACGATTGTTTGGTTTTGTTCTCTTCGCATGATATAGGTGTCATTCATTTTCTTTCTTCCTCGCTTTACATGTTTTGATCGATCATATACTCTATTGGTTGTAACTGCTTTATCCAAAGTCTTGAGATAAGCAAAATAAGCATAACAAACCTATCAATTAAAACCTGAAAAATAATCAAATTTACAACAGCCAGCCAAACAGTTTGTTAATAAAAGAAAGACAAAACAAATTCTTACACCTGTTCATCTGTCCATCATTATGGATAATACAGAGTCGACAGTAAATACCATTAGTAAGCCGACAGAAGCTGCCCGCAACACTGCCGTGCTACCGCAATATATTTGTCGAGTTATAAAAAATTTTCTTCTCGTCTGGCTCGATGCCAATCTTGATGAATCAAAACCAGATTTCAAGAATTCATTAACAAATCTACAGCAAATTGTAGTATCAATCCGAACATTTATCGATGCTGAACAATGCATTCGATTCATCAGAGACATTAAAGAAGAAAAGGTAATTTTAATTATTTCTGGGTCACTTGGACAAACTGTTATACCGAACATATGTACATGCTCACAATTGGACTCTATTTATGTATTTTGTAGCAATCAGTCGATTCATGAACAATGGACAAAAGACATGTTAAAGGTGAAGGGCGTGCATACTAGTATCGAATCTATCTGTACAGCATTACAAGTTGAAAGTGCAAGATGCGATCGAGATTTAGCCTCGATCAGTTGCCATGGCATCGATTCCTTGTTTATGTACACACAACTGTTAAAAGAAGCACTATTGGAAATCAACGATCATGATACTAAGCATGTTAAAGAACTTTCTGATTACTGTCGTCTTCAAGATAATATATCTAACGATGAAGTAGAAAAGATTGCAACTGACTATTATCGTTTTACACCAATTTGGTGGTACACAGCGCCGTACTTCATTTACTCGATGCTCAATCGTGGCCTACGGCTGTTCGATATCAATATTATAGTAAAAATGGGTTTCTTCATTCGACATCTTCACCAGAATATCGAACAGTTGTATCGCGAGCAACGGTCAACTGCGACAACGACACCTTTCGAAGTATACCGAGGTCAAGGATTATCTCGGCAAGATTTTAAAACAATGAAACGATCCAAAGGAGGAGTAATGTCCTTTAACAATTTTCTTTCAACGAGTCGCAACCGTAATATCGCCCTAAGTGGTTTTGCACGGCCGGCAGCACTTGTCGGTGCTGAATCAGTGGGTATTCTCTTTGCTATGACCATCGATCCAACACTCTGTAAAAGTTCAGCACAACCATATGCTGACGTAAGAAAAGTCGGTTTCTATCAAGGTCAAGAAGAAGAAATTCTTTTCTCTATCTACACTATATTTCGAATCGATAAAATTGAACGAATTGACAGCGAACATCGTGGCCGCCTTTGGCAAGTTAAACTCACATTGGTAAGTAACGATGATGCTCATTTAAACAAGCTTACGGCACATACACGCGAAGAGCTCATTGGAACAGGCGGCTGGTCACGAGTAGGAAGTATACTAATTAGAATGGAACAGTCTACAAAAGCAGAACAACTCTTTCAACTTCTCCTTGCAAATATATCATCCAGCGATGACGATCGAGCGAACTATAATTATCAACTTGGATGCATGTATACCGTCATGAACATACACTCGAAAGCAATTTTATTTTATGAACAAGCACTCAAAATCTACGAAGCCAGACGTCCAGCTCCACATACATTATTGGCCACTTGTTACAACAACATTGGAACCTGCTATAAAAGCATCGGGGAGCACTCGAAAGCACTTTCATTTTATCAACGAGCAGTTGATATCAACGAAGAAGCTCTCGCTTCGAATCATCTGTCATGGACTACTCCCTCTACAAGGACTAGTTGCTCTTTGCTAGCAACTTCCTATAACAACATCGGTGGTCTATGTTACACGAGCGGCAATTACGCACAAGCACTTTTATTTTATAAACGAGCCTTCGCTATGAAAGGAAACACTCTTCCTCCAAACCATCGTTCATTTGCTACTTGCTACAACAACATCGGATTGGTGTTTGACAGTATGGGGAAGTATTCGAAAGCACTTTCATGTTATCGAGAAGCCCTCGATATCGATCGAAAGAATCTGCCTGACACTTATGAACTTATCGCACAAGTAAAAAGAAATATTAAACTTGTGAAAAAGAAAATGTAATTGATCTTAGCTGTAATAAATGTCTTGCATTGCTGTCATTCTAGTTTTGTTTCATTAGAATGCTTCTTCTGTACAGTCAATATTTCTTGTCAGAGGCTCGGATATAACCAAAGAAGAAATTCAAATCCTGCTGTAATAAGACAATAAATAATGCTCATCATCAATTGCATAGTCAGAAGGTATTCAATTTCTTTCCCCGTGGACGTGAAACCTTCGGAAGCGATTTTCGATAGATGTTTTTTTTTGCTCAAGGACAGCTTACGTCTGTTCTTTGCAACTGGGGAATTATAAATATATATATATATATATATACCAGCAGCGAACCATTCACATGAAATGTCATGCGTAAAGTTTTTGAAACGAAAACAAAATTGGATATGTTTTTCTATTCTAAAAGAAATCGACATTTGTATTGAGTCACTTGCTCGAATTTATCGATCTGAAGAAAGTTTTTAATATTCTCGAAGTAGAATTTAAATAAATAATGAATGCTTATCAAGCACAAAGAATAGAGAAGTAAAACAAAATATCGAATTACGTTTCGTTCGCGTAAAAGACTCTGGCGAGAGGAGTGGTTTTCGATAAAAAATTATCATTGGCTCTCAGCAGCCATGACGGTATTCTCATTGCCGCCTCGTACCTATGATTTTGGAAATATGATTTGTAAAAGAATAATATATTATGTCAAACTATTCATTTGTACTTATGCCTTTCAAGTGACAAGAATGAGAATATAAACACAAAAGATTTTTTATTTTCGTTTTATTCTAGAAAATATATGACAACGTCAAATGGTTGCAGTTCTTCTGCAACTTCTGCACTACCATATGCTAATATAACAACACAATGCATACCCGGTTGGCATCGTCGACCACTACCTGAAGTAGCCATACCGTTCAATTCGGACAAAGGAAAACGTTTATTTCGTGAAGCACTTCTTACAGATGGTTTACATGGATATTTTAGTTTAGCAGAAACATTCCATACACAAGCAGAGCCTTCCTATTGTGGTCCTGGGACGCTTTCAATGGGTCAGTTTTTGTCTAACAAAAAAAGATTTCATCCATTCTTTTTCTTAAATACGTTTTATTTAAAGTGCTGAATAGTTTGAACATTGATCCAGGTCACATATGGAAAGGTAATTGGCGTTTTTTCGACGAACATACACTACGCACATGCGATAAGCGTAAACCAAAAGATGATCCATTAAAAAATGTGATCGAAGAAGGTATTACGTTTGAAGAATTTCTCTATCTTGCTGAATGTAATGGTGCGTCGGCGATTCCATTTCTTGCGTCAAATACAACACGTGCACAATTTTTTTCTGCAATCCTTACTGCTTGTACACGTCGTTTAGACGATGTTCGTCTTGTATGTAGTTACAATCGTAGTACACTTCAACAAACAGGTACTGGCCATTTTTCACCAATAGCTGGATATCATTCACAAGAAGATCTCGTACTTATACTCGATGTTGCAAGATTTAAATATCCTTCACATTGGATCCCAATTGAATTACTTTGGGAATCAATGTGTGCTATCGATTCAGTCACAGGAAAATCTAGAGGTTTCTATCTAATTAGTAAATGGCCAAATGATCTTTCTATTCAATGTAACATGAGTAGTTGTAGCGACACGACTGAACAAACTACAACGTTTAATAAAGCCTTATGTTCACCAGAAGAAAGCATTTCGTTATTTATTGAAAATAAACTTCTTTCAATTGTTGATGAAACTTCATCGATTCAGACAATTATTATTACTATACTACAAGCATTATCACCTGTTGTCGTACAATTGATTGCAAAATGGACGTTTGATATAATACAAAAATATCGTTTAAATGCTATATTGAATTCCAATTGTGCTCAAGATTGTAGTTGTACGAATCTCTTTGATTTATATCCATCGTTGTTACCTGAAACTATTAATGATTCTATTAAAAATGATGATGTCGAATGTAGAAAACCTTGTGCGCGTGTTACTCGAACACATGTTCATGCTTATGCAATGCCAACGGGCTGTGCTTTGGCATTATTTGTTGAATTATTTGAAAAAGATGCGAATCGAAAACTTTATGGAATACTTGAACAAATGCATATCGAACAGTATTTAACTATTAAACAAGATAGAAGCATGTATTTATTTGGTGGTTTTTCAATAATGACTGATGATAATGATATGCGATGGAAAATTGAACGTGGTCTAACGGCAATATTTCTTTATGCAGTTCGAACGGAAAAATTTCTTTCAAATATCGATCTGTTCAATTCAAATGATGTTTCATCGGAATTAAAAAATGAAATTATTTATGCTAAAACTTGTTTTGGGCTTTGAAACTTGACTCGTGTTTAAAAATTTTTACGAGTAAAACAAAAACGATAATCACATCTGGTGCAATATTGACAACAGGGGTTACATTTCTTGATAAACTATTCTTCGCTTAGCTATTCTTCTTGTCGGAAGTAAGCTGAAGATGTTGTATAGACTAATGTGCAAACATTTTTATCTAATCGAAATCCACATATAGCAAGACATGAGAAAAACAACTATTAGAAAAGTCTTTGCAACGCAAATATTTTGGAATATGACTATTAATTACTACAGATGAAATCTTAAAAGCATTCTTTCAGTTTTATATAAAGCTGTTCGAGCTCTGCAAAGTTTCCATAAAAAAATCCTTCACAATGAATTTCTTAACATGAGAGAACTTCGTCTCAGATGGAAGTGTTTTTAGCCTTTGTAAAATAATTAATAGCCATATTTACCTTGACTTGTGAAGAGAACGCGTATGATGTAAGAAATAATGTACATGTATATCGTTGTTTTATGCTATTCGAGTGAACTTTTCAAACAGTTGCAGATCGATAAAAATACATTGTCTACGACTTTACGCCATCTATGTTTAGCTGATGTAATAAATTCGATACTGTCAACAGAAAAGAGGTGTTTCTATCTTTACAGCACATTCAATGCCGTGGCGTTTTCTGTTTATAAAGTCTATCATATAATTGAACTCGGCTTATTTTCCACGACTTGGTTAGGACGCACCTTTTCTTGTATCAAAATGACAATATCAACTTTGGAAGCACCCGAACCTAAGTCATTAACTCGTCCTACACATTGGTCGAAAGAAGTCGAAAATGCATATCGTTTTCAATTAGCTGGTTACCGAGATGAACTCGAATATAAACGAATTCGTCAAGTAGTTGAGGTTTGACAAAGTCTATTATTATTATTCCGTACGACATAATATGTGATTTCTAGATTGATATATGGCCTGATAGTGGTTTTGTTAAAAAATTACAACGTCGAAAAGATGAATGCTTTTATTATTTTGATAAACTTCGTGAATGTCCGGATAAAGAAATAATAAAATGTAAAATATATTCATATTAAAAAAATAATAAATGTTATAAATGAATGTCGTATAAATGTATGTTTTTCTTCTTCTTATATTTGTTGTATCTATTCTAGATATAGTTTCAATAGATAGAAGAATCACTTTCAATAGATATCTGCATCAAGGTAGATTATCTCATTTTCTTTTCTTTCTTTGTTCTAGTTGTAAATTAAATACTTCTATGTTATTCTGATCAATTGAGGAGACATAATAAATTCAATCGAGATTTCCAAAGATATTTTTTTTGTCGAATTATAAAAAAATGTAAACTTTTCCAATATCTTAAAAATTTTCTTATCGAATATATATATCATCATTAGTATGTCAAGAGTATTATCTTTTCCTGTTAGAATGAATAATCATCCAAGCGCACCGATTGCTAATCCAATAGAAGAAACAGCCAATGATTATCTTCAAATGCATCGTATTCATGAACTTTTTCATAATCTTTCAGCATCTATGGTCTATAACAGACCAGGTAGATAGAAACATAGTTCGTATTTTTATCATTGAATTCTATTGTCTAGAGGATCCGAAGGTATTCATGATCGATTATCTTGAACAATTGAAAAAAGCTCGCGCAACTGGTCTTGCATTTCCAGCACTTGTTCAAGATACAGATCTAACATCTGTTTTTCGTATGCTCGATCCTGTCGGACTTGGTCATATTACATATTCACAATATGCATCTAGTAAGATTCAAGCTCTTTGAAGAAATTTTTTCAAAAAGTTTATTATTTCTTTCTTTCTAGCGATGGAAGCTCTCGGGGTCACTAAATACAATACAGCACCAGCCGGCAAAGATGCTGATCATATTTCATCAGAAACATTCTGTCAAGAAGCGTCTGTTGATTTTCTTTTTTTCTTTTGAAAAATAATGTTTCTTTTGTTTACATTTATATAGGAAAAAACGAATTAACGAATTAAACGCTACTTTTCATAATCAATAATTTAATTCACGTCTCATATAATTTTCTGTTTTCTTTTTTTTTAAATAAAATTTTTCTTTCAATAAACTTTGTTGAAATCGATGCGAATTTCGTGCGAGATAATCCGTTTGATACTTAATGCCCTGCTGGCTCTTTCGTTTCTCGCTGAAGTAATTAAATAATATGCTTTTGCATTATTTCGAAGCACATTCTAGGAAAAGTATTGAAGTAAAACTTTGCAGGCCAATCGTATTGTCGTATAGGAAATCAATAGAAGATCAACAGAAATGTGGAAACTTCGGATTTCATCCGAGAGTTGTGTGTACTGCAAAAAGTGCATGGGAATATGAGTTATTATAGAATGTCTGAACACCAAAATTATCATGAGAAACTAGGCAATTTGATTTCTGGATGCAGTTTTTGTGCATTTTGAAACGTTTTTCAGGCGATGTTTCATTAGAAAGCTA